TTTACTGTATCTGGATAGTAAACATGAATTAAAAAAATGTATTATAGTTATTATATTATTCACCTTCCTATGCTGTCTTGATGCTGTCCTCTTTAGAATAGAAACAAAAAAAAAATAAACAATATACCTAAAGCACAGAACACTAGTTGTGATTAGTATTCTGTGCCTAAAGTAACTGTAATGCATGTATGGTTTTGTATAAGTACAATTGAGTGGCTTCATATCAAAGACGGACATGTGTCATGCAAGAAAAATTGAAATAAATTGGTTTTTTTGTACACAGCTGCTATTATTCTTTTTATTTTTTTTATAAAAATCTCACTATATACATATATATATATATATATATATATTATATATATATATATATATATATATATTATATATATATATATATATATATATATATAATATATATATATATATATATATATATATATATATATGTATATATATATATATATATATATATATATATATATATATATATATATATATATATATATATCGGTTTTAAAACGTTCTCCTACGTCTTCCGATGCCTAGTCGCCATTCACTTCGGTCCATCCAAAGGTCTTCATCTAATTCTCTTTCTCTCATACTTCGATTTATGCCTTCTCTCCAACTAAGGCGGGGTCTTCCTCTTTTTCGCCTACCATGAGGGGTCCACGTTAGGATTTGTTTCGGGAGTCGTTCTTCGGACATTCTTTGTACGTGTCCATACCATCTAAGCTGTTTGGTACTAATGTCATCTACTATTGTGTGTTTCACATTCATTATTTCCCTAATTCTGTTGTTGGTTACCCTTTCTAATCTTGATTTTCCTGCTGAGCGCCTCCAGAAATCCATTTCTGTTACTTCAAGTTTTCTCTTGTATCTTTCTTTTATTTGCCATACTTCACTGCTGTAAGTGATTATACTCTTAACAATTGTATTGTATATTCTATGTTTGTTGTTGTTTGATATTGCCTGGTCCCACAGTATGCTATTGAGAAGGGTAATTGCTTTTCTTCCCTGGTTGTTTCTTTCTTCTATCGTCCAGTCTACGTTTCCTTCTTGTGTGATGGTCATACCCAGGTATTTATATGCGTCGCAATGTTTAATAATTTCGCCATTCCCCAGTGTAAGGTCCTGCTGTGTCCCACCAATACATATATATTCGGTCTTTTTTATGTTTATTTCCAAACCACCTTTTTTGTACTCCTCTATTAATTTCCTTGTCATATATTCTATAGCATCGTAGTCTTGCGCTAGTACAAGTTGGTCGTCTGCAAATGACAAAGTGTATATTGTATTGTTGTTGATCGGTAATCCCATGTTTTTGCATTTGCGTTTCCAAAGTTTTAGAGTTTGCTCGAGGTAGATCTTAAATAATGTCGGTGAAAGGCAGCACCCTTGTTTTAGGCCTTTGCTAATTTGGAATCCTCTCGATAGCCCGCTTCCAACTTTCACCCTTGCTGCAGTTTTGGTATACAATTGTTTCGTCGCTGTTATTAAATTTGCGCTTATATTGGTTTTCTCTAATGTTTCCCATAGTTTGTTTTGTGGGATGCTATCATACGCTTTTCTCAAGTCCACATATAACAGATGCACCTCCTGGTTAACGGCCAGTTTCTTCTCAATAATCTGTGTAATACAAAACAGATGGTCTACCGTTGATCTCCCTGCCCGGAATCCTGCCTGTTCTTCAGCTTCTATATCTTTATATTCGTTTTCGATTTTATTTTTAATCAGTTTTCCGTATATTCGGCTGATCGAGTTCGTTACAGCGATGCCTTTGTAGTTGTCACATTGATCCCGTCTGCCTTTTTTATGTATGGTGGATATCCATGATGTCTTCCATTCTTCTGGGATTTCCGCTCCGTTGATGTATCTTTGAAAGAGTTTAGCCAGGTTTTCATATAATTTTGTTGTGCCATATTTTATTAGTTCAGCTGGTATGTTCCCTGGTCCTGGTGCTTTGTTATTTTTTAAAGACTTACATACTTCTTCTACTTCTTTTGTTGTTATTCGTAATGGTGAGGCTAAGATATTTACGTTGCTGGTATCACTGTTATTTAAAAATTCCGCTCTGTCCTCATTTAGGAGTTTTTTAAAATATTCGTCCCATTGATCCGGTGAGATTGATGATATTATATCTCTTTTCTTTTCCTGTCGTAGCGATTTTAATACTTTCCAACTTTCTGTACTTCTCCGTCCTCCTAAATGTGTGTTAATCATGTTACACTTTTGCTCCCAAGCCTCATTCTTCTTTTGGCATATCATTTTTCGCACTTTAGCTTGGGTCCTCTTGTATTCTACCTTATCAGCGTCGGTTCTTGTGTTCAGAAATTTTTTATACTTCTGTCTTTTATTTTTAATCTCTTGTTCTATTTCTTCGTCCCACCAATACGAAGTTTTTCTGTGGTTTTTTACTTGGAGTCCGAGAGCCTCTGTTGCTGCTTCCTGAAGACATGTTTTTATATAATGATAATGCTCTTCATTGCTGGTAAATTGCATGGTTTCTAACTTTTTATCTAGTCTACTCCTGTATAAATCCCTCACGCTTTCTTGTTCTAAGCTGTTTAGGTTGTATTTCTTTTCTGTTAGTTTTTCTATTTCCTCTGCAGCTTCTTTTAAATCTCTTGCGCTATCTATTCCTATTGTGAGCTTTGTTTTTAATAGATGGTGGTCACTGCCGCAAGTGGCTCCTCTATATACCCGCACATCCTGTACAATCAATTTAGTCTCACTTCCTATGTTAAAAATTTCATGGCATTCTTTTTTTGTCACAAATGTGTTCATTTTTTTAATGTTTTCTCTATCATCCCAAATACTCTGTCGGCAGGAAGGAATGAGTGCCCTGTTACAGGAAAGATTGTTTTCAATTTTTCGTATGCTGGTTGGACCATAGCTATCCAGAAACTTGCAACACACAGATAAAATATTTATATTCTTATTTTGTCCAGCGCAACCATCAGACAATAAACGAATGGAGTCATATCCTGAGAGATCAGCTGATCTCTAATCATTGAATACAATGGAAGCAACCTAGTTGGATGATTTTATTGCTTCGTCTTCCGTCCAGGTATAAATTGAGACAGTACTGGGATTGAGGCTTTTCTGAGGAGTAAAAGGCTTTGTGCAACTCCATGACATCACGCATTGGTAAAAGCTGGCACTGGTATCCAACTCGGTAATGACAGGTGGGATACAGAGGAAGACCTTGGGGTTGAGTACCTGTATGAACATACAAAAGGAGGAATTACTTAAACTTTAGTTAAATCAATGAATTCATTCAAGTCAATAGTCAGGATTTTCATTAGGAATCTCTCAATTTTATGATAAAAACTATTCATAACTCGGACGAACATATACAGTACCTTCTAACATATCAAACTTCCACCCACCTATTAACATTTTGTTACAGCAATCAAATGTTAAGTATGTACATGATTGAGTTCAATGATTAGACTTATCTTTGTCGTTTCTGGATACTTTTTTTTTAATTTTTCGGGATCGCTCTTCCTCTTACGCGTCGTCCCTGGATTGACAGGTATATTTGATTTCATGAATCTACTTTGTAAACTAATAATATGTGAAAAAACAGTTTAAACTAGTGATAAAACACAACTAAAACGATTAAAATCAGACTAGTTGAAAGCAATGGCTGCCATTGTTGATTTATCAGTCATGTGATCACAATACAGCATTCTCGTTTACTGTTGGGGAGGTGTCCATTTTTGAAACAGACCTTCAACTGTGAAGTTGAAAATAACGTATTTGCGTCCATGTTGAAAGGAAACTATTATCATCGTTGAAAAGAACAGGAACAATTCTATAAGAAACCACTAATAGAATACGAGCGTTTAATTAGTAAGATAATAAATGTATATTAAAATAACCAAATAGGTACATAGGCCGCTCATGTGCGCCTTACGCATTTTACAAATACCTCAACTTTGTTACCAAAACTTAAAAAAATTCATGCTACCTATAGGTTTTTGAAGATTAGGCTCTAGCAACGGAAATTCCATAATGACCGGCCAATGGAAGTGATAAATTGTATTGATATTGATTGAGCATTTATTTATTTTACACCTTTATAGAAACTGATGAAAATGATCTGAATCATTTGATTCAGATCATTTTTTCTACAGCGTACAGATTCTCGTTAAATTAATGTTTTTCGTTTTAATTTCAAAGCTCAAAGTGGGAAACCTTTTTGAATCTTTTTAGGATCCCAAAATTGACATTCTCAGCAAAATTTAGCTTGTTAGTATAATTTTTACAGCTTCAGTGACATTTTCTTTTCGTCTCTAAGGACTGGAGTACCTAGTCAAACTGGCAACTATTTTATCAAATTTGTCTCAAATACCTAGTGCTATAAGAATTCTCGATATGTCTAAAAAAACATAACAAAAGGCTCTGAGAATAGTCATACTTTAAAAGTATACAACCATAGATAAATAATATAGTATATAGAAAGTATACAATGACGCAGAGTGACTATGTGGCTAAAATCAAATAGAAGGTTAAACAATAATATATTATATACCAATAAATTGAAGCTAACAATATAGCACGCCACTGGATAAATTTGTCAAAATCTAATTGTCTGTACTACTTTCTATAGAGCATATTCGCCAAATCTGAAAAAATATTCATCAGCGTTTGTGATCTATAATAAATTTTTGAGTTTGATAAACTGTTGAAGGTTTCGTCGTTTCGTGTTTATTTCAATGGTCAACGTCCTGTAAAGTATGAGGAATTTGATATAAAACGCATAGTGTCATCTACTGGTAGAAATATTACCAAGTGTCATCTGATGCTTGCAATTTACAGATTTCATTTAAAATATTGTGCTTCCCTCTGTACAGCGGCGTATCACACTTTTCAAATTGTTTTCTATCCTATCCATTCAAAAGCCATGCATTGCGTACATCTATGCGCAAAGCTGAAAGTTTTGAATTCGTGTGCTTGTTTGAGTGTAGTGCATTTCAAACATGTTGAAGCAAAACCGGGTAGTGTTTTAGTGAAAATTTGTAATGAAATATGTCAGAAATCAAACGTGTCGTCCTGAATACACTCGAAACGCAAAAAGTGAGTGATAAAGTGATAAAAAAAGTGACCAAAACTGTGCGAATCACCTTTATTTTACCCGAATCTAACGAAGACAAGCACCCTGAGTATAACTATAAGGACGAGCTAGCTGCTGCTGTAAAGGTAAGTTATGAGAGAAAATGGTCTCGATTTCTGTTTTACACACGATAAATGCAATAAAATAAGCATATTCCAGTGTTTTTGGTCAATCTAGCCCGTCAGGTGACAGCTGTCAAGGTAAAAATTCTTGAGGAAGGTTCAGCCCCTTTGCAATATGTAGTTAAGTGCAGTTACAATTTTTAGGATCTTAAAATTTACACTTTAATTATAAGCTTAGTATTTACGTCGCCATGTTTAAAGTAGATTGATTAAAAAACAAATTTTTAGTCCCAAACACATTCAATTTTGAACTCTATACAAATTGTGTATTGTTCTTAGATATGGGAAGAATGTGGTCTACGTGACTAATTTGGTTGGTTTCATACGAAAACCACCTCCCAGGGCTCTTCACAGAGATCGATCACGGTTATGTCCTTTTATTCCTACCAATCTGGACTACATATTGTAACAATTGCATTGTCTGCTTCCTTGTAGGGGAGTGCAACTCCACTCGATTTAAACATAGTTTTTACTGATTTTCTATCATAAAGGAGTTTTGTAAACGTTGGCAAATTATTATTTATAACAATCATTTTGAGAAATAATTGTGAAAATTAACCTTTTTTGCAATGTTGCCACGTTTTACAACCTCCAAATAATGAGGGAGAATGTTATTATTGTAAACAACTTAGATCTGTGTTATTTCTTTCATCTATAAAAAAGAATGAATTATGTTAAAAAATTGCATATTTGATCATTATTGTTGAATTTAAGATTTATTATCTTTTTTAGTAGGTTTTGCTAGCTTTTTTAAAAGGAATTTTCTGTGATAAAAATTCTTAAAATTGCATTTACTTTTTGTGGTCGTACTTATTTAGATTCTCGTCAGTTTTGTTTTATGTTAATTTATGCCTCACATCATTAAAACATTGTTTAGTTATTTAGGGCAACTACCCCCACCCTCAAATAATTATTCGTTTATTGCTCACATGAGTAAACATCTGTTTATAAAAGTAAATATTCATTTTTATAGAAAAACAATAATGTTGTGAATGAATGTGTTCTTTTTATTGGATTAGATAAATTAATGTTATTTTGTGCTTCAGAAACACTGTAAGTAATTGTAGTCAGCCAGTCATACCAACAGCTTGCTGGTACATATAAGTAGATGAGACTTTCAGGCATTCTTTCCCGTCCCATATTGAAACTTGAGGAAAATTTCTTCAATTGCTCGATACCATAAATAAATTTTAGTGGAAAATTAATTCAGAAAGTACATTTTTTGCGATTTTTGCGAATTTGAAGCAGTTAGAGATTGAGTTTTGGGCGCGCTTGTATCAGGAGTACAGAAACGCCAGGAGGTGTAGAAGGTAACGTCATGCTGCTGCGAGTATCGCGGACTGGGTACATCTGTGACCATGGGCGGGGAACGCGCTTGGAATTAGGGTTTATATTAGATATGATTACATTGCACATATTATTTTAACGTATTTTTCTTATCGCTTATTGATATTTTGTCGTGAATTTTATTTACACAATATGAACAAAACATCGTTTAGTATGTGGAATATTTTACAGTACAGATAACTACTTGTGCTCCGTATAAAACAATATCATAGGAAGTTCTGGAGGCGGAAATATTCTAATAGTTATTAAAAATATTCGAGGCTATGATAGTGGTGTGACGTGAATAAATAATAATTATCGAAATCATGCATACATTCTTGGAATAGAAATTGAATAATAGTACTTTATGACGCTCCACAATGTTGTCAAGTAGTCTAAAAAATTTATAAAATAAGGAAAATGTTTACTGATTATCTGAAGGATTTTATTATATTTAACCAATTAATGGTAGCTCTAAAATACTATCTCATGTTGGGATAAGTCTTCTATAATTTATTGTATACAAAAATTATGTATTTTTTTGGAAGAAGACAGTTTAAACAGTGATATGAGTAATAATTAATGAGATATATTGATTAATTGTACATTGTTAAAATAGTAATTGGGTTATGTGATTTATTTCGGTAAACATTCTAAAATGTTCAATAAAAGTTTCTAGTTGCTCACACTTTATTATAACTTTTGATCTTTTAAGTCTTAATAATCTCGACAGTTTTCCTGGGTTTTTCTACTCTTATATTCACACAATATGAGTCAAATATACGAAACACAATTATTTCAGAAACGGTTAATTATGGAATTTGTTTTATGGGGATTGTATAATATGGCCGATTTTCATTTGGTGTTTGTGTTGTTGCCAGATCTTCAGTTTTTCCGAGAATATTAAGAACTTTGGTGTTGTCAAATAGATCACTAGATATTTTTAAATTTTAGACGATTTTTAGATTATTAAGTAGATCATTTTTTGAGTATTAAGTAACCCTGTTATTTTTATTAAACACTCTAAATATATATAAATGTAACAGTTTTAGAAATAAAATCAAAATCGGGGAATAATAGAAATTTAAATTGTTTATACACGAAATACTTATAACTGGGCAATTCCAATCTGTACATTTTTTTTTGTCAATAAAACCTACAAATAAGTAATTTACATAATTGAATACAACAAACAAATATTTGAAAAAATATTATTTTACCGTTTTTAATTTTTCAAAGCATTTCAGTTTTTTATTTTTAGCCCTATTTTGATGATTTTTTTAACACACTGTAAAAATTTATAAATTTTAATTTAATATGGTGAGTTCTTTTTTTAAATTTTGTATTTGACTTATACGGAATTAAGCGAAAGATGGTTTTTTATCCTAAATTTGAAACATTCTGTGAAATAATTCCGTTGGCGGATTTTCCTAAAACTTTGTTTTTCAGTTGCAACCATGTCTTCTAAATATTATGTTTTTTTTTTGTTTCGTGGAAAATATGGATTGGTTCATTTTTAGGAGCGAAATGACTTTGCCACTTTTCCTATTATTACCATTATCTTTTGTATTAATTTGTAATACGACGATGGGAGCTTTGGTGACTGATATCGAAGGAATGTCATATCAACATCTCAGAAGCACTGTATTTAAATAATGATTAAAAGCAACGGCACAATCTTGGTTTTAATGAACAATGATAACAATAACAAAACATAATAAAATAACTTAACCTAAGTACGCAAATAACAAAGCAAACTACTAAAAAGTATCGTAATACTTTGTACTTAGTACTTTGAATCTCCCTTCCCCTAGCCTCTATAACTATAGTACACGTCGGCTCATGCGGTCTATGAGGTTGAGAATATCATCTTTCTTGATGTTTTGCCATTCCCCTTCTAGATCCAAGCTAGTGGTGTGTAGTTCCAGAACGAACTAGTTCATGGAACTAGTTCATTTTATATTATAAATGAAATAGTTCCGAAAATTAAATGGAGCTATACTACGTTCCACCTTAAGAAAATAACATTGCAGAGATAGGGTCATGTATTTCTTATGGACGATAGAAACGCGGCGTTGCCACGACACACACCAGCACAATTTAGTCGTTTCCACAGACATGAATTAAATTAATGTTTTTTAACTTAATTGACAAAAAGTGCCCATTCAAAACAAGAGATGAAAAGTAGGGAAAATGATTTTAATTAGATAAATAGTATTTACAAAAGATAATTTTATTTTATCTTATTTTAATTATAGTAACGACAGTTTATTTGATTTTCGGTGAGCCATGAATCATAGAAATCAGTAGAAAATATTGCTTAGTTAAATCATGCATTTTGCCGCCTATAAAAGTTTTAAAAGCAAATAAACGGACTTGGAATGCGTATATCTAATTACTAATTGCAACTTAAAATAATACGATTTGTGTATTTCAGCGATTTTATGTCGTTCTCTGACTAAATACATAATGATAATGAGGCTTTTATTTAGTAGTTATTCTGACTTTATTATACAGTTAAATGTTAATTAAAAATGAAAATTCAAAAATTAAGCAAAGGGAATATCTTGGACATCCGTGCAAAAGAGAGTGTCTGAGAGTTTTGGCAACACTGATCTCCATAAGCGTAATGTTATTTTCTTAACTTGAAACAAAGAATAGTTCCGAGGAACTATTAACGTCACTGCTGAATTGATATTTGATACCATCATTTGTGCGAACTGCATCTCTAAGTATTTCTTCGATCGACGAAAACGAAAAACGAACTAGTTCCGAGCCGATGAACTAAGATAGTTCTGAGGAATGTATGATAATCGTGATCGGTTGGGTATACTATGTTTGATCGTTGGCTGTCAGCTTCAGCTTGTTGTAGGTACATACGTATATACATATACTGTAATTGTCTGTAGTAACCGTGTCTCGTATAAGAGAAGAAAAAAGGTTGAAACAATTTGGCGGTATTTACTCAATTATTATTGAGTAATTATCTCCTTATTTTTAGATGACGGCCACTTCGTTATTTTCGTGAATAGAAATAATGATTTAAACCAATGCCTTCGAATTTAGTTTCCTATCGTTTACCATATTTTACTTTTATTTTATTTGTGATGTCGAATATCGAACTTATTTCTAAATATTCGATCCGGTTCATATTAAGATTGGTCATACCGATCTGATCACAAGGTTAGTTATAGTTCCAAAGAACTAGTTCCAGGAACTAGTTCCTTTTTAGGAACTAGATAAAAGGAACTAGTTCCTAGAAAGGAACTATGAAGCCTACCACTAATCCAAGCGTAGTTTGTTAATTGAAGATGGTGCGACTTCGCGACCTCTAATGTTTTTACCAAGCATGTCCCAAACGTGCTCTATTGGGTTCAGATCTGGCTAACACGCTGGCCAGTTTATTTTATTAATACCAACTTTCTCTAAATATTGCGTGACACATTGCAGAGTGGAGTCGCGCATTATCTTGCATTAATAGAAAATCATAGCCGATATATTAAGAAAAGGGTACTACGTGATTCGCTAAAATTTCCTCAATACACCGCTGTGCAGTCAACGATTCATCAATAAATACCAATTCTATATTAATTTAAATGTTCCCTGGAATGGAAAATTGTAGTCTAGCCACTCTATGC